AATGTAATGGGATCCTCCTGGGGCTGAGACGCACCTCTGGTGAAAATTTCAGGTCAATCCGTCTGTAACTTTCTCCATAAAGTTGTTCACAGACAAACAAACAAACAAACAAACAAACCAACGCTCCCGAAAACATAACCTCCTTGGCAGAGGTAATAAATTACAGTCAATAACAGTCAATCCATAGTACATAATTGTGTGTAGCACAATTTCTCCTTTTGCTCAAAACTATTATAAACTTGTCTTTAGCTGATTGTGAAACACTGCCTCCTGGAAAGATTTTCATGTTGATTTTTCTTGCAATTGTTAAAATGATAGGAAGCTGAAAAGAGTTATTAATCACACAGACATGTGTTGATCAAACAGTTGTATAAGAACACTGAAAACCTGTTTGAGCAGAACTAACTTTTGGGGTAATGTCTCTCCTCCCGGCTGATCAAAGCTGCACAACTTTATAGACAACGCTGTTTTACAAACTGCATACACTCATACTCTTCATAACTGATCTGAATTTTAAGGATACAATTTTCTGCTTGAATTTCAATTACTTGTTGTGCACTCCTGCCCCCGAATGCATTGGGGCTCTTTGAACTGCACAGTAGCAGTGCTCGCCAGCTGCATATGTCACACTTCCTGAAGAGGGAAAAATAATTCCAGTAAACATCATCCGTCAGCAGTTATGTTTCCTACAAGAGTTATTTTGAGAACTTCTGAGAAGACTGAGATTGAGTTGCAAATGAATCAAAAGCCTTTTTTTTTATTTGTATAAGCAGAAGAAAAATCTACATCTTTCTATCTAACAACTTTGCTTTCCAGCCCCACTGACCCCTAAATATGGGATATGAAACTGTTTATTTTCTTCTACCCTTGGTGAGATGTAAAAATCCTATATTATTCATTTATTCCTGTATAGATTTGTATTTGTCAGGAACAGATATATGCAAAAATAAACTGGGAACAGACATCCAATGCAGGTATCATCGTGTTTAAAGCTGAAGCTAATTTGCAACACCCACCCCAAAGAGGGCTTTTGTGAAGATAAAAGATAAAAATGGAGAGTTTAAATGAAAACTAGAAAAGGAAAAGGTAAGCTTGGTGCAGTATAAAATGACAAAAACATTTAGCAGGGCCATGGAGAAAAGCAGACATGAGTATCAGGAGCTCTGTTGAAGCTCAGGTCAGGAGTGTTTTTACATCAGTGAAGCAGACTGAAATCCATTCTGATGCCTATGATATACAAAAGCAAACAAGACCATCACTGATTTTTGATATATTGCGTTGATTTCTAGAGATTTGTTGGATGTGGGAGTTAAAAGATATTTCTAGGTCAAAGAGAACTCCCAGTTCTTAATAGTGGTGCTGGATCCTAATGCTGTCTGCTGCAGTTATATCACTAAAAAGTGTTTCCCCGAGGTGTTTGGGGCTGAGAACAATAACTATAGTATTGTGAGGTTTGAGTAGCATGAAGTAAAAAATATTCACAATAAAAGATCATTTGAATGTCAAGAGTCAGAGTGATAAGATATTCGTTAAAGGACACTTTTTAGGCATGTAAAAGGACAAAATAAGCAAAGATTGCTTTGACACCAAAACTGGCACAGACCAAAGGTTCCTCAGGAGCTCTAAAGGGTGGTGAAGTTTGTGATGAGTGTAATGTGATCAGGCAGGATTTTTGCTCCTGTCAAAGACAGCGTTGGAGGCTCTGTTTGCTCAGGTCAGACCTGTCTGAAGAGGAGGATACTGCCCTCTGGTGTCAGCTGCATTACAAGATCAAAACAGAGAGGATTTCCCATTCAACATAAGAGCTAACAATAGCCCCATCTAGTGGTTATCATCTGTCACTGCATGAACCATTTAAATCCACAACCTCAACATGTCTCCACAAACAGACTGATGGGTCAAATGAATCACACAGACAGCTTTTAATGAGCACTGTTAATTAATAATTAAACCATACATACACGGACAGTATGTGAATGATGTATGTTTCAAAAAGGAAACTTCCACTTTGAAAATGTTACAGGATCCTTTTCAAAGCTGGGTCTGAGTGCCAAGTATAAAAACACAAGTTCCAAAATAGTCGGGGAAAACAGTTTTTAAGAAAGTGAAACCAAATTAGAGATTAAAAAAAGATTAAAATGGACGAAATAAAAAAGAGGAAGATGACGAAAAAGTCACCTAAAATATGTGACTGTGTTTTCTGATGATGATTCACATGATCTGATGCAATGACAGCGACAGAGTGCTAATAGAAGTGGTGTATATTTTAATTTTAAAGATGTCAGCTGGATGGTCTTGTTGTAGGATATGTCAGCCTCTTCAAAGTTAATGAGGTTCAAACTGCACAATGATTAATTTACAGCCAGATATCTGCAACTCCAGTGACTTTTACCTCAACTATCCTTGTTTCAAGTGTTAATTCTAGCATGCCTATAAACTTGGATGTTCAAGCTGGTAAAAACTGCTTCTTGGGAATATGATTACAGCTCTTGTAAGGGTCTTTTAAAGTGTTGCCCTCTGTGAACAAAGTAGTACAATTCCTCTTTTCACTTCATGTTTTCCTATAAGAAAATATCTTCTCTTTTTTATTCTAAATGTCTTAATGTATCACACAGGAAATGCAAGACACATAAATTCTTCAAAGGGCTATTTCTGCATCTCATCTGACACCTATTCTTGTCATGGATTCAGGTGTAAAAGAAACTTCACAAATCAGGATGAATCAGTCTTTTTCTGATGGTTGGCTTTTAAAGGTGATCAAGAAGAATTAATATTAATTTCAGACAGTTGGGTTCCATCTAATTAGTTTTATGCAGGTATTTCTTGCACATATGCTGATATGCTGGTGTTAGAATTTACTGCATGTCCATAGACTTTGAGTTTGGCATGATTTTTGCTTCCTTTTAGTTTACTGCTTATCATTTACTGAGTGGAGAACCTGATATTAAATGAATTATGCTTTTAGCACATTAAACGTGTCACATGAGTGTTATCCATCTTTTCTTCTCATGTCTGTTTCCTTTCCGTCTTTTGGATCTCCTCAAACTCTTGGAACCACAACTTTACAGGCTTTCTAAAACTTGTCAGGAAATGGAACAAAAGTCCGCTTGGGAGCCTTCGGTGATTAAAATAGCGGCAGTGGAGCCAGTATAGCATCAAATAAAAAGGAGAGGCCTATAAAAGACACCAAGAAAAGACATTGTTTCCTTCTAATGAAACTTTTACATGTCGAGTTTGTTCTGTAAACACTATTAAAATGTGACCAAACAATATGTAGTGTTAAGCAGGGAGAATCCTTTAAAAGTGCTAGCTCTAAACTACGAAGAGCAGAAATTATACAGCACAAGTGTACATTGAGGGACATAAAGAATGACTAAGAAGAGCAGAAAAAAACATGGCAATAGCTGCTCATCTTGTTTATTCTTTTGCACAATTTTAATCTGACTTTAATGCAACTTAGTTCAACCTCTGTCGGCTTTATACCAGAGTGCTTTGAAAACAACACTGCAAGGAGTTGCTGTTAATTCACAGCCAATTTTCAGCACTAATCTACTGTTTTTCAGAAATACGGTTTTGTACTGTATTTAGCAGTGCATCATGGGTAGTCCATTTGAAGCAACAGCCCAAAAGCCCTTAAGAATACACTATTGTTTTAAATCAGGGTATTCGATAAGAAAAGCCATTTGGACAGCAGATCTTCTCAAAGGAGGACACACAACTGAGTCCAGCATCATTTGCATAATTTGGGCAGCTGAAAGGTTACTAAAAATACTGTTGCTCAGCTGCCATCCTACCAATGTACGCCAAACAAACTTAAGAGTCGTTATGGTGATGGAATAATTTAGAAAGTTATTTTTTCCTTGAAAAGAGGCTGAGCTGAAAGTCTTTCAAGTACCAAAGAAGAAGTGGCCTGTACCCTGGAATTCACTCAGAGGAGTCATCTATTCGAATCAAATATTAGTCACTTACCAGAAAATACACTGGAAGTTTTGAGATTATGAAATACTAACTACGGATAGAAGCATATAAGATATACATAGGTCTGTGAGGAAAAACAAGAACTACATAAAAAACTAATCATACTGGTACAGGTGAGTAATCACATCTCAGCAATTCCCTTATCATATGGAAAGTTTATAAGTTCAATTTGGAAAAAAAATAAATAATGATAATATTTTAAACTTTTACTATTTTTTGAGAAGGAGAGAGAAGGACCATTATATCCTCAACACTGTTAAAGACCTTCAGCTGTAATTCAGTTCAAATCACTGGCAGCAGGTCTAAAGGACATACAAACAAACCACACAATTCAACATACCAGTGAAAAACAACATTTTAACTTGAACTCCACCTGCCGAGTGTTGAATGCAAAGCCACCATACCACACACAAACTCGGTAGCTGTAGCCGGCAGATGTATGTGGCATCCACCCAAACCCTCCTCTGACGGCTCACAGGTCCAGACCTCATATTAAAGACTGTATATTTAGCTGCCTCCCTCTTTCTTTCTCTCTCTGTTTGATCTTCTCCTATCAGCCTCTGCAGACAGCATGAAAGAGGTTTCACAAACACCTATTACTACCTGTAAAGGGCTATCAGTGTGTAAATGAACAAACTAGTACAATCCGCTACAACATTACAACCTCACAACACACTATGAGACTATGAAAAGTCACCAGTGGTCATATTCACAAAACCTCCCAGTCTCAGGAGTTGCTCCCAGATGGACGAGATGGACTTCAGTGAAGGTTTACTCGAACATCTGAACTCTTGGATGTGTAAGTCATTTGTCAAAGATTATACAATATTTGCTATACTTCAAAAGGAAAAAATACAATAATAATAATAATAAAATAATACAACAACATTAATATTATTAATAATAATAATAATAATAATAATAATAATAATAATAATAAATAACTGAAAATCATTCCCAGAATAGATTCTATGATCAGGCTAATTAAATTGATCCAAACTTCGGTTTCTTTTACGGTAAACTTATTACCAGGTAATTAACAGGTAATTACCTAGTAACAACATGAAATTATCTGGTAATTACATGATAACTACTAAGTCAATACTGTCTAGTTTTTCTTTTTTTCTGTGCAGCTCCAATTTCAAAAGCTATTTGGGGTTCTTATTTTCTATGATTGACACTTGATACAGCCTATGGGTGTGCGAAGATTGCGTAGCGATACGCTGTTTGAGCCGAGCATTATCACAGCGACTCACCCGCCGAATGCGTACAATGCTACTGCGCAAGTGGTGGTTCCAGGAAGCGGAGAAAATCCTGGAAATACCAGAGCAATTCGGCTTCAAATTTGTATGATGATGGAAGGTTACCTACCTGGTAGCTAGACAGTATTGACTTAGTAGTTATCATGTAATTACCAGATAATTTCATGTAGTTACTAGGTAATTACCTGTTAATTACCTGGTAAAATGTACTGTAAAAGAAAGCGTTACCCAGTTTGGATATATTGAATCTAGACTCTTCTTATGTGTTATATAATACAGCAGTGGTCCCAGAGCTGTGTGAGGATTCAATTACATAAAAAATGACCTTCTTTGTCCGCACCTACATCCAAGTGATGACTCCCAAAGTTTAAAATAGTCAGTGTGGGAAAATCATTTAAGCAGCAGACCTTAGTGCATTAGTCACATAATGATGACATTTAAAGTCATATAATAACCTGTGATGTTATAGGAATAACAAGACATAAAACAGTGTGGCATCGTAATCAAAATATTATTGTGTTGTAGTATTTAAGGGAAGGAAAGTCTTCACCAGGTCTGAACAAACTGTGCTGACGACACCAAGGACAAGGTGAAAACACAGAGTTCATTCCAGTTAAATGGAACAGATGTCATAATCCCTGCAGGCCACAACATGGAAAAGGTGGTTAATGTAGACGGGCGCAGTCTGTCCTTACTTCTCAGGATTTCGTTTCTTTCTCACACTTGTTTTATTTGTTCACAGTCTTTCTAACCTCACAGATTCTTTCAGGAGGAGAAGTTAGCCTTTTTGTTTGTATGTGGTTTACTTGTGTTTACTCGTGTACAGTTCGGGGTAGTGGGGAGGAAGTGTGGATGGAAAAATATCTAAGTTCAGCACAGTGTGATGGACTGGGTGTATTCCCTTTAATTATTGGTTATGTTTAATGTTTCATTCAGACTTGAACGCTGAAAATTCCTGCATAAGAGAGAGGTGAGGTTGTATAACGTACCTTCTAATAGAGTATCACTCAGAGTAGGCCGCCAGAAAAAAGCCTGGCACACACTTAAAGAGTTCAAGAATCTTTGTCTCCATAACATAGCTGCTATGGTCTTACAATCTGAAATCAAGGGGGCAAGCAGGTGGCCAAGTGAGTTCGCCCAAAAAAAGACTTAAAAAAAAATCTGACATCAAATAAAATAAACTGTCGTCAGTACTCTGGCAGCTGAATAATGCACAGCATTTATTGCTGAAAATGACATCAAACTGTGATGTGCAAATACTAAAAAAACACTACCATGTTCAGGGCAAAGGTCAGATTAATATTTTCGACTCCAATAGCTGCACGGTGCAGCAGAACATGGGAAGCACTTTTGGGGAACTTGGGGTCTTTGACTCATGATTGCCCTTCCTGAAATCCCTTTATAGCTCTTTGTTCTTTTGAAGTGCGTCTATTTTTAGGTACCCAGAGTTGACTGAATAGTCCGGCTACTGATGAAATCTACAACACTAGAAGGTGTTTTGTGATTTTCTGTTTCACTTTTGTTCACTGTGCTTCACTCCTTGTTTAGATGTCATGTGTGTTGTAGGTCTCTATTTTGATGCCTCACATCTGGGCTAAAATAACTTCACCAAATGGGAGTGGTCTCTAACACCAGGGTGTACACAGGTTTATTGCACACTGCTGATGACTAACCTAGGATTGTCCTTTCATTTAAACCCGCCTGTTCATTGTTTGGATGTAGGCTCTGATGAAGGCCTGAAAAACTGAAAACTCAGCACATCAACTGTGGGTGCAAAACAGACTAAATCTGCAGATTCCTCTTTTCTAAATTAGATTCTTTACAATAGTCATGTGTCGACAGAGTCACACAATGAGGTTGTTGCAGGTCAGCTGCTCCAGAGATCCACAGAGCTGGCCTTCAGGCCACAGATTCAGAGAAGTGTCCATGTAAGGGGACTTCCTCCCCCTGAAACAGGGCCTCTTGGCCAGGCTCTCTGACTGGGAGTGCCAGCCTCCCTAGCCTGGTAATCTGTAATTACAGACGGTCGGTCCTGAGAGTCTCAGAGAGCCACGTTACTGTTAGTTCAGATGTCAGAGAACTTCCTCTGAACATGTTTCAAATTAGAGCGCGAACACGTGGGTAAACATGTAATCACATCTTTCGGCATGAATGAAAAAGACCGTTTAAAACAAAACACATGCTTTAACTCAACCATGCCCATGTATGCAAACCGTTCACAGGAATGTACAAAATAACTGCCCAGCCCCCAGGCTACATTATAGAGTCCAGTCTAATTGTCCGTATGATCAGTGTCAGGTGAGCTGATTCACATATAACACCTAGAACACCTGGGCCCTTTCATTGCTCCTCCCAGGACATAACAGCTCCACTCAGTTTCGTTTCACAGGCTCTCTCGAACACCCTCCATCATGTTCTGCACACATGCAACTACTTGCTTCATTCATTTGGGTTTAAAATAAAAATTATAATAATAAATAACCCAAATACCCAATTAATAGAGTGTTTGATTCAATTCCTATATTGATACCATTTCTCCTTTAACCCTAACTCTAATCATTGTCAGGACAGAGAGAATTTATGTGACTGTTTAGATTTATGTTTCAGAGGTTTGTCCCTCCCACTGGAGAGTGTCAGCAGGGCAGGTAAAGTGCAGGTAGAGTGGGGGATGGTAGGCAGAGTCATTAAAGAGGCTCAGGGACAGGTGTGTCACTCTTTGTTGCAGAGAGAGTGTTTGGTGGCATCACTGCAGGAGACCTCAGAGACACCAGTGGTGAGAAAATCCTGATTTAAATCAAATTAACAGTTAAAATAACTTTAATTCAGTGACCGAGGGGTTGAGATATTTGAGTTTATTGATAATGTAAGCCCTGTGCGCTAAAAATATAATGTTAAAACTAATATAGTTGTTTCCTAGTCGTTCTTAGTTGTTGTTTAAATTTATGCAAGCTGTCATAGAGTGATAGATTTGATTTAAATCAACCGTAAAACTAAATATCAAGTTTGAGTAAAAATGAATTATATCTTAAGTATTTAGCATAATTTAAAAAGCCAAATTTATTTTAAAATGAATTGGTTATCAATCTGCTTCTGCACTGATTACCATCTAAAACAAAAGGAATCAAAGCAAGCTGAGTTGTCCAGTGTCCTCTGTTAATCTCCAGGAAAAAGGGGAAATTTAACTCGACAATCATTGAAAAAAAGAAAAAGATCGTGAAGTTGCAAAAGTGCTAGTTAAATACAAATAGGTAGAAATGTGCAGACTGGTCATAAAATGCACCTTTGAGCACCGTCATGTCGGTTAGTGGTAAATGACAAAGCACGTAGGTGTATTCATCCGTATTTTCCAATCATACGGATACATTTATGGAACGTCTGACAATTCCTAACACTCCCAAACCATGGGGCAGTACAGAGACCAGACCAGTCAGGGCGAATGGGGTCAGAGCTGAGTCAGTCTGAACTGTATCAGCGGTTTTAAAGACATTTTCCCGAACAGATGGAGCTACAGTAGACCGGGCTGAGGTCAGTACTGTAAGTCTGGCAGAGATTTTTATTTAGTCTAAAGCTTGAAGAAAACAAGTGAAAAAAAGGACACACAAAAGAGCTTACTGTGGACCGAACCACTGTGTCTCTGCGTGAAGTCACGATAACAACCAAGAAGAGCATGAAATCAAGTTAGCAAAAGCACAGGGCGGATATACGGTTTGGACTTTTTGGCAAACAATGCACACATTGTGACTTTTGTATGTGTATGTCCAACAAAATCTGAATTAGTTTAGCTGGAAGGAAAGGTAGTGATTTGGATTTTAAGCACTGCTATAGTTGTTTTTTTAATCTGTGTATTGAGTCTGAATGTGTTTTGTCACTCCATTATGCCAAACACTGAGACTGTTTTACTAACTTAAGTGTTTTCTACAGTTTCCCTAAAAGACTAAATCTGTTTTGTCAACTTTCCACTGGCTCCGTGTTTTAAGTCTTTTCTCGCCAAGCCTAATTGAACCTTGCATATGGCTTCACTGTTGTGGTCTATCGTACAAATGTTCACCTTCCTGAAAAACTTTTGGGCTGCACCGGATGTTTGCCGGACCCGCCTCCATAAAAGGCTTAAAACATGAGGTTTATGTTAGGTCACTTTCAGGTTCTGAGGCCATGGCTCCTTCACTTCCTGCAGTATTTTGAGATGATGCGTACACAAACATATGTAAGGAAGCCCTCTGTGGTCACGTCACAAATTCTTGAGGTCACATTGAGCTGCATCGGACATGTGATATTCTCCTGCCAATGCATGATAAACCCTGATTATGGCTCTGAGCCTCCTCTGCTTTTCAGTGAACTGTGGAAAAATCCTCCTCAACCTAACCATACTACACTATGAAAATATATATCCACTCCTACACTCAAATCATGATCTATGGTTCAGACTCAAGGTCTGCATGAGCTCTTGTGAGAACTGTAAGTTACATAACAGCTTCACATTTACGTGATCAGACAGAACATGGTTTAAACAGTTGAATATGTCTAATAATGGGAGTGTGATTAAAATTAAAATACCTCAATTTAATGATTGAGAATTTTCAACAAAAAGATAAACAGAACATTTAATCATTTTGTTACGGCGCTGTGTTTGTTTTGCGTGTGTTTCTCCCCTTTTGTCTCCCTTTCTAGCTCCCCAGGTGAAATCACTTGAGTGCCGATCAGACTCACCTGGTGCTGAGAGTCTAAAAGCCCAGAGCTGCCTGCAGTCTGGAGAGGCATCTGATGGGGGAACTGCTGCCCTGCTGCCTCTCATTTCTGTTGTGGGTTCTTTGTGTTTAGCTCGCAATTTTGTTATGTTGTCACAAATAAATCACTTGTTTAACTTTTGAAGGTGTTTTGTTAATTTAATGGGTCAAAAGGTGAGGATTGTTGTTAGCCCCGTCACACATTTTGTATAGTTTAGTGCTCAAAAAAATCTGCCTGTCCATAAAAAAACAACCTTTTTCTGTCGAATAAGTGCCACATGTTTGAGTTTCAAATGTACACTTAACAATGGCAATAGCAGTAAGGTGCTTCCATTCACTCTCAGAACACTGGGGTAAATGGGTCCGATAGAGGCTACTGTGTTCTGGTATCTGGTTCTGCAAAATAGTCTTCAATGAACTCTCATCTGCTGGTGTGTTCGCATGAGGTAGAGTTATGAGGTATTTAGATATTGTTCTGCCCTAGATTTTACCCTCAGTGTCACATTTCATAAGCATTGCATGACTTTGAGGTCTCAAGATGATCTTTTAGAAAAAAGACCTCAAGCTGCCAGCCCAGGTGTTCACTAAGTCCTTGACACTTTATCCTGAAAATGCATGAACATATATTCTCTGACATCTTTTTGGGACAACATACTGATCCTGGAATTTAAGATATACATGTTGTGTTTTGGGTAGCTCGACACTAAAAAGTATGTACTTGTCTGCATCTCGAAAAAAAAAGTTGATTTGTCTCAAAATGATTCAAAATTAGTAAACAAAACTCTGCTTTTAAATTTTTGTCTGACTTTTTGGGCCAAAGATTAAAAAGTAAAAGGTGACATGAAAATACTTCAGCACATGTATTTACCAGAACCAGATTGAAGATGGGATGGGAGTGGGTCTGGTCTTACAAGCCAGGTCTTACTCTTATCCCCTCTTTACATTGGGTTTTTGTAAACACAGTCTGCTCTTTTATGTAAAGGGAAATATAACCATGCAGTGACAAAATATGAAACAAAACCTCATAAAATCGTCATCGTACAGACTGTCCTCTGTCTCCCGGTGAACAATAAAATAAGTGACCGCAGTGACGTAAAAACATGATGCCCTGAACACACATACCTGCACGCGCTCACACACTCAGTTACTCACAGAAGAGAAGAAACACATTGAAGCTCACAAAAATAGCCCGACAGTAGCAGCTTTCTGGATTTGTTGGGTGCAGACTCATGAAATAGGATGAGTCTATTGTCATGTGTCACTGACCGCACAGCTGCTCAAAAGCCTCACAGACACGCACACTTAGAGTCCTTTTTTTTTCTTTAAATCACGAAACAGAAACACTTAAAAAAATGCAAAAATGAAAGTTAGGTGTAAAGTTTAAACCTTTGCACATGAATACAATCACTCCAAATTAGCTTCACACACAGAAGCAGGTAAATATACTCACTGCTCACTCACACCATTGAAACAAATATTCAACAAGTAAAAGTTTCTCCAGGCAGTCGGCCTGTCCCAAGCAGAAAGCAGAGCAGGACACAGACAGCTAAACAAAGGCCTTATTAACACTGAGGGCCTGAGCAAGCAAGCAAGAAGAATTAGGAAGCTGATGACCGTCATTCAGTCAGATTTTACTTTTCTGCAGCACACACGCAACACACACACACACACACACGAGGAGGGAAGGAGGGAGAGAGAGAGAGACCCATCTGTGTCTCACCTGGGACCACACTAGGGTTGCCAACTCCAAGAGATTGAAATAAGGGACAGTTAATCGAAAAATTGACTTCAGACAAAACAAAAAATTGAGAAAAGCTTTTGATTTAACTAACAAAATTTTACTCAATACTGAGAGTCAAGTTGACAAAGTTTTACCAAACACAGTATTTCACAGTCAGAGTTATCATATACTCAGTGTTATGACATAATTATGAAGTTTTACAGTATTAAATTAGGAACAAGGACAAAATATGTAAAATATATTTGTTATATAGGTAACACAAATGTAGCACAACATGAAGTAGAAACAGGAATAAAGGATTACAGAAATACGAACAAAATCAATAATAAAATAAAATAATAAAAATAAATAAATAATAAAATAATTAAAGCAATATGAGCAAAATGGAATACATGCATCCCAAAAGATGACATTAAGAGAGGTAGAGATGAAAAACCAGCTGGGGAAAAATCTTGAGAAAAAACCCCAGTGGAAAAAAGCTCTCTACGGTGTCTATGACTGGTGCAGGAAGGCATGTGGTCGCAGTTTTAGCCTCTACTGAACAAAGTTTAAGCCACAAATCAAACTCAGATTAAACACTAAGTTAAACACAATAATTATGAGAAATGGAATCTAAAGCACAAATTCAACAGACACAAATATCATTAGGTTACAACTTTGATGTAAGAAAACTCAACTATTGATCTTGCAGGTTTGCACAAAAGAAACTCAATTTTTTGCAAGTTTAACACATCATCCGGTCAAACAAATGAATAATTATATTAAACTAGGTTTGTTTTATTATCAGTTTAAAAAAATAACACAGCTGTGTGTACAGAGTGAGTTTGGTGGAGGTAGAGATGAAAAACCAGCTGGGGAAAAATCTTCAGAAAAAACCCCAGTGGACAAAAAGCTCTCTACGGTTCCCATGACTGGTGCAGGAAGGCATGTGGTCGCAGTTTGAGCCTCCATTTAACTAAGTTGAAGTATCCACCTGTAAATGAAGAAAACTGTCATGAGTGAATATTCTGCCTCGTTTTCTTTAGTTTTTCTATTAGTCAGAAAAGGTCTCATATATACTAGAATACTGATTATAAGAGTGATATAAAGGTGAAGGAGATCTATAAAGTGACAGTAACATAGCAAAGCCTGCACTCTCTGTGGGCTGTGGGGGTTATTTGTGCCCACAGAGTAAAAACATCAAACTATCATCATCTTTATGGACTCATCTGTTGAAAGGATTTAGAAAAACTGCTGCTGATATGTGCTCCTTGGCAGTGAAAAGAGAAAGGCGCACTCACCATGGCCTGAACAAGGCGCTTCCTAGACGAGGTTGAAGGTCTACAGGTTCACAGTGAGGCAGGAAGTCCATCTGTAGGGTGGGGGCTACAGAGGGCAGACAGACAGGGATCAGATCTAGTTACTGGACTGTTTACATCAATTTATTACCTCACAACTTTGACTGAAACGAGCAGATTACTCGCACAGATTGACTTACATCTAAACAGTGGATGACGTCTTTGTCTTCATTCTTCAGCTGGGTCCTGGAGCAAGAGGGGGTCATCGACGTCTCGGTGTAGTCCTAAAATATGGACAAATGTAGTTTTTACACCGGCACAGTTTTTAACCTTTAAGCGAATCATTATCTCTGTTCTTTGTACCGATTCCTCAGGGATGGTGCCCATGGCATCTTGTAGAAGATGTCCAGAGGCAGGTTTCTGTGCTGGTGCAGGCTTCAGTTAAACATCAGTGGGTCCAGAATGAGGTCCAGAATTGTGTGGATCCGTCCTTCAGAATGGGAAAGGCACTGGTTTTTGGGAGAGATTAAAATTGGAAAAGGGAACGTGCAAGGTTAGGAAATCTGGGTGCATCTGATCAAACTGCTGTACCAGCTTTCTTGAAGGTGGTGAAAACTGTACTCCATGCTCACTTGTAACCCAGTACGCAAAGGCTCAGGTGATGGGGGTCTGCAAAGGTCTTCTCCGGCATAGACTCTGTAACAACACTCGATGGTTTTTGGAGAAACAGAAAAAGATGGGTCACTACAAAATGAGTGTCTAAAGACCCCCAGAAAAGCTGGAGTTTTTGGACCCCAGTCAAAACAACCACAAGAACTTCAAAAACTTTCTCAAAAACTCTCAGACACTGTGGGTAAAATCACTTAAGAATAATTAAAAGTGAACTTCCAGCTACCTTCAGCGTGATGGTGACTCTTCCCAGTCTGGATGGAGGAGCAGGTCTTCAAGGTGGGGCAGCAACAGATCCTCCCAGAGCCTGGTGGTGGTCAGCAAATCGAACGCCACAACTCAAGACCTCCCACATGTTCTGGGGGAAAAGTAGATACATACATGTGCAGCCAGAGGGATGCAGAAAACCCTTGCACAGATTATCAGGACACAGAAACCATGACGAGTACAGATATCAGGTTTTTACAGAGACTGAAGGGTCAAAACAAACAAACAAAAACATGAAAAACCCTGCAAAATCACACACACACACAAAAAAAATCCCCACAATAAAAGACATTTTAAGGGCACGTTTGTTTTCCCCATCATCATGTTGGTTGAAGCTGTAGAGGAGATGTTGATGAGGTTTGACGTTGATGTTGAGGTTGTCCAAGGTTTCCTTTGAGAAGTTTGCTGTTTTGTTGTTTCCCTCAGAGCTGTTGTTTGATGATTTTGCTTTAGTTGTTACTTTTGGATTTTGTTATTTTACTGCTGGGCCAAGAAAGTATTCATTTAAGTTTCATGAAAAAAAAAAAAAAAAAAAAAAGGAAATAACCTTGAATGCCATAAAACCTGTAAAACCTTGTTCTTCAACCACCTTTTTCACCTTGTTGTTGATTTGCCCCTTGTCATTGAAAACACCTTTTAAACCTTGATAGTATTATCACCACTTCTCAGAAAGAACCTTGTCTGTTTTAATATGGTGCTGTTGAACCTTTGAAAGCATCTTTGTGAAACTTGTTGGTTCATACTTTTGTAAATGAAAACACATTTTCAACCTTGTTGTTGATTTCCCCCTTTATCATTAAAAACACCATTTAAACCTTGTATGACCATTGAACCTCTGAAGGGACCATTTAAACCTTGTTGATTTGCCCTTTTGTCATTGAAAACACATTTAAAACCTTGTTTGTAGTATCACCATGTCCCTGACAGAACCTTAAGAACCTTGTCTGTTTTAATATGGTGCCGTTGAACCTTTGAAAGCATCTTTGTGAACCTTGTTGGTTTATACTTTTGTAGATGAAAACACCTTTTAAACCTTGTTGTTGATCGTCTCCATCATTGAAAACACCATTTCAATTAAACCTGGTATTACCATTGTGTCCCTGAAAGCACCATTCAAACCATGTTGATTTGCCCTCCTGTAATTGAAAACACTTTTAAAACCTTGTTGTTGGGTCAATGAAAGCATCTTTTAAACCATTGTATAACCATTGCATTTCTGGAAGCACCTCATACACCTTGGTGTCCATTAACAACATCGTCTCTAAAAGCATTGTTGTGAACCTTGTTGGTTTGATTGTTGTTTCAATCCAAGACCTGTTCCTGAAAAATAACATAAAACCTTTACAGGTCTTTACAGAAACAGAAAACAAGTATGATTGTTAGAGATAGAAACACATATCTGTACAGTTAAACAAATATCTTTCTGCAGACAGAAAAGGCTGCAGTGTCACTTTAGAGCCAATACACTCTGACATCCACATCCTGGAGGACACCTGCTTCAATGCAAACACCCAAGTACACACAAAATACCAAGCTGCAATATCACCAGCTGGGTTTTCAAGAGAGGTTATAGTCACAACATTTGAACCACCAACCCAAACAAACATAACACCAACATAAAAACAGGAAGAGATCATGCTTAGGTGGGATTAAACTTTGAGAGAACAGTTGAAGCACATCTTAAACAGAGGAAAGTTGATCTAAGAATGGGGGAGCAGCTCTTTGAGGTGATTGGGATCCTTCCTGAAGACAGCAGTGGTTGCCAGGTTCAACGCCGAAGCTGCACACTTCTGTGATGTTTGGGGAAAAGCAGAGAAACACATACACTTGTGGAGGTATGCAGAAAATGCTCGACTTAAAAACAGTGAAATCTGTTTGAAACCAGATATGCATGAAGTTATCAGAATGCAGGACCTAGTTTCTTACATGCTTTCATTTGTTTACTTTGGTAAAAACATCGCATTAGCACGACGAAAAGTACATCCTACCATTTCCCCACTTCATCTTACCTTCAACACAATGACAATCCTTGGATTTCTCAGAGAGCACAGGAAGGCAGCACTTCCTGTAGCAACAGTTCCTCCAGGAAAACGGTGGTCCCCTCATGGTCAGGTACAACACATACAGATCATAACAAACATAGTTCAAGGACAGATTCAAAAAGGTTTACAAAAAATTAATACAAAATTTAAAAATAAAATAACACAAACAACAAAAAAACAAAAACAAACAAAAAGAAAATACACAAACAAACAAACAAACCCAAAAAAGGTTCAACATATACAGATCATAACAAGCATAGTTCAAGGACAGATTCAAAAAAATTTAAAAAGAAAAGAAAAAAAATAACACAAACAACAAACAAACAAACAAATACAAAAAGAAAAACAAACAAACCCCCAAAAAGGTACAACACATACAGATCATAACAAGCATAGTTCAAGGACAGATTTGAAAAGGTTAAAAAAAATTATACAAAATTAAAAATAAAATAAAATAACACAAACAACAAAAAAAACCAAAAACAAACAAAAAGAAAACACACAAACAAACAAACCCAAAAAAGGTACAACACATACAGATCATAACAAGCATAGTTCAAGGACAGATTCAAAAAGGTTTACAAAACATTTATACAAATTTAAAAAAAAAAATAAAATAAAAAACAGACAAAAAAACAAAAAAACACACAAACAAACCCCAAAAAAGGTACAACATATACAGATCATAACAAGCATAGTTCAAGGACAGATTTGAAAAGGTTTACAAAATTAAAAAGAAAAAGAAAATAACACAAACAACAAAAAAACAAACAAATACAAAAAGAAAACACTTAAACAAACAAACCCCAAAAAAGGTACAACATATACAGATCATTACAAGCATAGTTCAAGGACAGATTTGAAAAGGTTAAAAAAATTTATACAAAATTAAAAATAAAATAAAATCACACACAAACAAACAAACAAAAACAAACAAAAATAAAACACAAACAAACAAACAAACCCAAAAAAAGATACAACATATACAGATCATAACAAGCATAGTTCAAGGACAGATTCAAAAAGGTTCACAAAACATTTATACAAAATTAAAAATAAAATAAAATAACACAAACAACAAAAAAACAAACAAATACAAAAAGAAAACAAACAAACCAAAAAGAAGGTACAACGCGTACAGATCATAACAAGCATAGTTCAGGGATGGATTCAAAAATGTTTACAAAACATTTATACAAAATAAATAAGACAAAAAAAAAACAAACAAAAAAAACAAACACAAAACAACCCAAAAAAGGTACAACATATACAGATCATAACAAGCATAGTTCAAGGACAGATTTGAAAAGGTTTACAAAAAATGTATACAAAATAAAAAAAAATAATTAAAAAAACACAAACAAAAAAACCAAAACAAATACAAAAAGAAAACACACAAACCAAAAAAAAGGTATAACAAATACAGATTATAACAAGCAAAGTTCAAAGATTCAAACACAGAGATTCAAAGATTCACGATGAAATAGAAAATAAAATACACAAAAAAGGTACAACAAATACAGATTATGACAAGCACACTTCAAAGATTCCAATACAAACACCTTTTGAACCTTTTCAAACTTGTCTGAGACCAAGTTTTTGAGAGCAACTTTTGAACCTTGTTTTTTGTTTGAGATTAAGTTTTTTAAACCACCTTTTGAACCTTGTTTGAGATTAAGTTTTTGAAAGCACCTTTTGAACCTTGTTATTCGTCTGAGAACAGGTTTTTGAAAGCACCTTTTGAACCTTTTTGAGATTAAGTTTTTGAAAGCACCTTTTGAACGTTGTTTTTTGTTTGAGATCAAGTTTTTTAAACCACCTTTGAACCTTGTTTTTTGGGTTTAAAATCGAGTTTGATGCTCATCTCCAGCTGGGTCCATTTCTAGAAGAGATCAGAACCTGTTCCTGGAAAAAAACCACATAAAACTAGGTCTTTACAGAAACAGAAAACAAGTATGATAGAGACAGAAACACATATCTGTACAGTAAAACATAAATCTTTCTGCAGACAGAAAATGCTGCAGTGTCACTTTAGAGCCAATACACTCTGACATCCAGATCCTGGAGGACACCTGCTTCAATGCAAACAACCAAGTACACACAAAATACCAAGCTGCAGCGTCACCTACTGGGTTTTCAAGAGAGGTTATAGTCACAACATTTGAAACACTGACCCAAACAAACATATCAACATAAAAACAGGAAGAGATCATGCTCAAGCACACACACACACCTGTCACCTTGCACCTTTGTGTTGATTGTCGTTGATTTTCCCCTTTATCATTAAAAACACCATTTAAACCTTGTATGACCATTGAACCTCTGAAGGGACCATTTAAACCTTGTTGATTTGCCCTTTTGTCATTGAAAACACCTTTAAAACCTTGTTTGTATTATCACCATGTCCCTGACAGAACCTTATGAACCTTGTCTGTTTTAATATGGTGCCGTTGAACCTTTGAAAGCATCTTTGTGAACCTTGTTGGTTTATACTTTTGTAACAGAAAACACCTTTTAAACCTTGTTGTTGATTGTCTCCATTATTGAAAAAACACCATTTCAATTAAACCTGGTATTACCATTGTGTCCCTGAAAGCACCATTCAAACCTTGTTGATTTGCCCTCCTGTAATTGAAAACACTTTTAAAACCTTGTTGTTGGGTCAATGAAAGCATCTTTTAAACCTTGTTTGTATAACCATTGCAATTCTAGAAGCACCTCATACACCTTGTTGTCCATTAACAACATCATCTTTAAAAGCATTGTTGTGAACCTTGTTGGTTTGCGTTTAGCTGAAAACACCTTGGTTTGATTGTTGTTTCAATCCAAGACCTGTTCCTGAAAAATAACATAAAACCTTTACAGGTCTTTACAGAAACAGAAAATAAGTATGATTGTTAGAGAGAGGTTATAGTCACAACATTTGAACCACCGACCCAAACAAACATGATATCAACATAAAAACAGGAAGAGATCATGCTCAAGCACACACATGCCTGTCACCTTGCACCTTTGTAAAAAACGATTAATAAGCAGAGAAAAATTGAAACATTCAGGACTTTGAGTGATAATAGGACGGTCGATGCGTGGCGTTCTCGCACAAGGATGCCTGTCTAGCTGAGAGGTGATCTAGATCCTTCCTGAAGACAGCAGCGGTTGCCAGGTTCAACGCCAAAGCTGTACACTTTTGTGATGTTTGGGGGAAAGCAGAAAAACACACATATGGTATGCAGAAAATACTCGACTTAAAAATAGTGGAATCTGTTTGAAACCAGATATGCATGATTTTATCAGAATGCAGGATCTGGCTTCTGACATGCTTTCATTTTTTTAACTTTTATTTTACTTTACCTTCAGTGTAACGGTGACTCTTCCAATCTGGATGGAGGAGCAGGTCTTCAGATCCTCCCAGAGCCTGGTGGTGGTCAGCAAATCCAACGCCACAGCCCAACACCTCCCACATGTTTGGGGGGGAAACTTTACTACATTTACTGTTTACTTGAAAACATCACATTAGCACAACGAAAATTACATCCCACCATTTCCCCACTCCATCTTACCTTCAACACAATGACGACCCTTGGATTTCCTAGACGCTAAAGGAAGCAAGCACTTTGAGTTTCTGTAGTATGTTCAGAGGAAAGCAGAGATGGATGGATAAAGCGAAAAGAAATTAAGGCAGGCCAGCAATTTAACCACCAAAACGGTTATTACTTTATAACAGAGTTTCATGTGGACTTAAGAAGTTTGCTCAGACTGAAAACCTCTCCTTATCATTAAAAAACCCACCCACCTTCATGATCCAGACGATGTCCTCTCAGCATCCAGGCCAGGTTACTGGTCCTGGTGTAGCGCAGACATCTTTTGTTTTTGGAGGAGGAGGACTGCAGACTGAAAGTACACTAAGACAGATCTGAATGAACAGTGTGAAACAGTTCAAACACTAGCTTTGTAGAAGTTTCTGTGGTGTTGAATGCAGTGTTGGTTGGTGTGGGTGTTGTCAAACCAAAAAACAAACTGATCTCCAGTGTCCCTCGTTGATTGTCTATCCGTGATGTGAAGCAGGGTCTCACCTTACCAGGAGTTCTTGTCGACTGTAAAAGTCATCAGGAAGAGGAAATTATTCAGATGACTTAAGCCTCATCTTTATTTTCTCTCTGGGTTTATATAGTTGCATCCCTGCTTCAGTCTCACCTTTGGGCTCAGTGGAGTGGAGCCATCTCAGGGACATGAAGTCAGCTGGGGTTTGAGGAACAAGCTGGAATAGAAAAAGATTAAAAAATGTAAATTGAAAAAAGTTGCTGGCTGGTTTGATGTGATGATTTGTTGAAGTTGTTGTTTTAAAGCGGACTGAAAACCTCTCCTTATCAACTTCTTGAAAATAAAACCCACCCACCCTCATGATCCAGACGATGTCCTCTCAGCATTCAGGTCTGGTTACTGGTCCAGGTAAAGCGCAGACATCTTCTTTCTTCTCCCTCAAGGTCCAAGTCCTACAGGTGTCACCGTGCTGATCCTGATGGCCCCGTCGATCTTCTTGTTCTTCAGGCTGTACATGCTGACTTACCTCTCAGCATTAATTAAAGAGTGAAAAAAAGCAGTTTTAAAAACTAGTTAGCAAAAAACAAGGAGTATGAAATAAGACACCACGTTGGTGTCTCTCAGATGTGTCTGCGCCTTGGACAGCCAACCCCCGTTAAGTTGCATCACAGATGATTTGAAGTCAGCTGGGGTCTGAAGAACATGCTGGAAAAAAAAAGTTGAAAAAAGTTAATTGAACAAAGTTGCTGGCTGGTGTGATGTTTTGTTGAAGTTGTGTTTTGAAGCAAACTGAAAACCTCTCTTTATCAACCTCTCAAAAAAACCCACCCAACTTCTAGATGTCCTCTCAGCATTCAGGTCAGGTTACTGGTCCAGGTAAAGCGCAGACATCTTCCCTCTGCTCCCTCAAAGCCCAAGTCCTACAGGTGTCACCGTGCTGATCCTGATGGCCCCGTTGATCTTCTTGATCTTCAGGTTGTACATGCTGACTTACCTCTCAGCATTATGCACAACTTACAAACAATAGAAATGCTAACCAAGTCTACAGGGTCAAAATAAAGCACAGCTGAACACTGTGCACTTTAACTTGGCAGGGTTTCTTTTCAGTGTAATTATCCCTACAGTTGTAACAACCACTGCCACTGCTGTTTCCATCATTGAAATTACAAAGTTTTCTTTTATCATCACTCCTTTTAAAGAGTGAAAACAGCAGTTTTAAAAACTAATTGGCAAAAAACAACGAGTATGAAAAAAAGATACCTGGTTGATGTCCTTCCAACTGGTCCACGTCTTAGGCAGCCACCCCTCGCAGAAATTCTTCACACCTCGGAGGTCTTCTTAACCAGGAGCATGTTGGGGACATCTCAGGTAGTTGAGGAGAAGGAGTATCCCACCATTCCATCTTTGATCAGATGGTGGGAGATCACGGGCAGAGAACAGTGACTCTCCGCAATCGCAACAGCAAACAGACGCAAGCTCGACCAAAACCCTAACCAGAAACCTCCTACTCTGCACTGGTTGACCTTTGATTGGGTCCTAGTTTTTGTGGTGTTGGGTGCGGTGTTGTTTGGTGCAGGTGTTGGTGCAAACTGACCTCCAGTGTCCCTCGTCGATGGACTGTCCATGATGTGAAGCCGGCTCTCAACTTACCAAACAGGGTCCAGGCACTGGGCACTCATGAGTTCCGGCTCAGTCTGTCTTGATCTGGCGCACTATCAGCTCCTGGTTAACACACAGAGAAATACAAAACCATCACACCTTGAGTCCTGTATACTCATCTTCTTTTCTATCTGAGCGTATCAGGTTGCATCCCTGCTTTAGACTCACCTTTGGGATCAGTGGACTGGAGACATCTCAGGGACATGAAGTCAGCCGGGGTCTGAGGAAAAAGCTGGAATAGAAAAAAGTTTAAAAATGTTAATTAAAAAAAGTTGCTGACTGGTTTGATGTGCAGATGTGATGTTTTGTTGAAGTTGTGTTTCATAGCAAACTGAAAACCTCTCTTTATCAACCTCTCAAAGAAACCCACCCAACTTCTAGATGTCCTCTCAGCACTCAGGTCAGGTAACTGGTCCAGGTAAAGCCCAGACATCTTCCCTCTGCCCCTTCACGGCCCAAGTCCTACAGGTGTCACCGTGCTGATCCTGATGGCCCCGTCAATCTTCTTGATCTTCAGGTTGTACATGCTGACTTACCTCTCAGCATTATGCACAACTTACAAACAATAGAAATGCTAACCAAGTCTACGAGGTCAAAATAAAGCACAGCTGAACACTGTGCACTTCAACTTGGCAGGGTTTCTTTTCAGTGTAATTATCCTTACAGTTGTAACAACCACTGCCACTACTGTTTCCATCATTGAAATTACAAAGTTTTCTTTTATCATCACTCCTTTTAAAGAGTGAAAACAGCAGTTTTAAAAACTAATTAGCAAAAAACAACGAGTATGAAATAAGATACCTGGTTGATGTCCTTCCAACTGGTCCACATCTTAGGCAGCCACCTCTTGCAGAAATTCTTCACACCTAGGAGGTCTTCTTAACCAGGAGCATGTTGGGGACATCTCAGGTAGTTGAGGAGAAGGAGTATCCCACCATTCCATCTTCGATCAGATGGTGGAAGATCACGGGCAGAGAACAGCGACTTTCCGCAATCGCAACAGCAAACAGACGCAAGCTCGACCAAAACCCTAACCAGAAACCTCCTACCCTGCACTGGTTGACCTTTGATTGGGCCCTAGTTTTTGTGGTGTTGGGTGCAGTGTTGTTTGGTGCAGGTGTTGGTGCAAACTGACCTCCAGTGTCCCTCGTCGATGGACCGTCCATGATGTGAAGCCAGCTCTCAATTTACCAAACAGGGTCCAGGCACTGGGCACTCATGAGTTCAGTCTGTCTTGATCTGGCGCAATTTCAGCTCCTGGTTAACACACAGAGAAATACAAAACCATCACACCTTGAGTCCTGTATACTCATCTTCTTTTCAATCTGTGTTTCTAAAGTTGCATCCCTACTTCAGTCTCACCTTTGGGATCAGTGGACTGGAGACATCTCAGGGACATGAAGTCAGCCGGGGTCTGAGGAACAAGCTGGAAGAGAAAAAGTTTGAAAAAGTTGCTGGCTGGTGTTACGTGCTGATGTGATGCTTTGTTGAAGTTGTGTTTCATAGCAAACTGAAAACCTCTCTTTATCAACCTCTCAAAAAAACCCACCCAACTTCTAGATATCCTCTCAGCATTCAGGTCAGGTTACTGGTCCAGGTAAAGCGCAGACATCTTCCCTCAGCTTCCTCAAAGCCCAAGTCCTACAGGTGTCACCGTGCTGATCCTGATGGCCCCGTCGATCTTCTTGATCTTCAGGTTGTACATGCTGACTTACCTTTCAGCATTATGCACAACTTACAATCAATAGAAAGGTTAACTAAGTCTACGAGGTCAAAATAAAACACAGCTTGATACTGTGCACTCTAGTTTAGCAGGATTTGTTTATAGTGTAATTATCCTTACAACAGCTTGTTTCCCTATCTATGTAACAGCCACTGCTGCTCCAGTTTCCATCATTAACATTAATGAGTTTGTTTTTTTATAATCACTCCTTTTAAAGAGTGAAAACAGCAGTTTTAAAAACTAATTGGCAAAAAACGAGGAGAAAGAAATAAGATACCTGGTTGATGTCCTTCCAACTGGTCCACATCTTAGGCAGCCACCCCTCGCAGAAATTCTTCACGCCTCAGAGGTCTTCTTAACCAGGAGCATGTTGGGGACATCTCAGGTAGTTGAGGAGAAGGAGTATCCCACCATTCCATCTTCGATCAGATGGTGGGAGATCACGGGCAGAGAACAGCAACTTTCCGCAATCGCAACAGCAAACAGACGCAAGCTCGACCAAAACCCTAACCAGAAACCTCCTACCCTGCACTGGTTGACCTTTGATTGGGCCCTAGTTTTTGTGGTGTTGGGTGCGGTGTTGTTTGGTGCAGGTGTTGGTGCAAACTGACCTCCAGTGTCCCTTGTCGATGGACTGTCCATGACGTGAAGCCGGCTCTCAACTTACCAAACAGGGTCCAGGCACAGGGCACTCACGAGTTCGGCTCAGTCTGTCTTGATCCCGCGCAATTTCGGCTCCTGGTTAACAGAGAGAAATACAAAACCATCACGCCTTGAGTCCTGAATACTCATCTTCTTTTCAATTTGGGCGTATCAGGTTGCATCCCTGTTTTAGTCTCACCTTTGGGATCAGTGGACTGGAAACATCTCTGGGACATGAAGTCAGCCGGGGTCTCAGGAACAAGCTGGAAGAGAAAAAGTTTGAAAAAGTTGCTGGCTGGTGTTACGTGCTGATGTGATGCTTTGTTGAAGTTGTGTTTCATAGCAAACTGAAAACCTCTCTTTATCAACCTCTCAAAAAAACCCACCCAACTTCTAGATGTCCTCTCAGCATTCAGGTCAGGTTACTGGTCCAGGTAAAGCGCAGACATCTTCCCTCTGCTTCCTCAAAGCCCAAGTCCTACAGGTGTCACCGTGCTGATCCTGATGGCCCCGTCGATCTTCTTGATCTTCAGGTTGTACATGCTGACTTACCTTTCAGCATTATGCACAACTTACAATCAATAGAAAGGTTAACTAAGTCTACGAGGTCAAAATAAAACACAGCTTAATACTGTGCACTCTAGTTTAGCAGGATTTGTTTATAGTGTAATTATCCTTACAACAGCTTGTTTCCCTATCTATGTAACAGCCACTGCTGCTCCAGTTTCCATCATTAACATTAATGAGTTTGTTTTTTTATAATCACTCCTTCAAAGAGTGAAAACAGCAGTTTTAAAAACTAATTAGCAAAAAACAAGGAGTATGAAATTAGAAACCTGGTTGATGTCCTTCCAACTGGTCCACGTCTTAGGCAGCCACCCCTCGCAGAAATTCTTCACACCTCGGAGGTCTTCTTAACCAGGAGCATGTTGGGGACATCTCAGGTAGTTGAGGAGAAGGAGTATCCCACCATTCCATCTTCGATCAGATGGTGGGAGATCACGGGCAGAGAACAGCGACTCTCCGCAATCGCAACAGCAAACAGACGCAAGCTCGACCAAAACCCTAACCAGAAACCTCCTACCCTGCACTGGTTGACCTTTGATTGGGCCCTAGTTTTTGTGGTGTTGGGTGCAGTGTTGTTTGGTGCAGGTGTTGGTGCAAACTGACCTCCAGTGTCCCTCGTCGATGGACTGTCCATGATGTGAAGCCAGCTCTTAACTTACCAAACAGGGTCCAGGCACTGGGCACTCATGAGTTCAGTCTGTCTGGATCCGGCGCAATTTCAGCTCCTGGTTAACAGAGAGAAATACAAAACCATCACACCTTGAGTCCTGAATACTCATCTTCTTTTCAATCTGGGTGTATAAAGTTGCATCCCTGCTTTAGTCTCACCTTTGGGATCAGTGGACTGGAGACAGCTCAGGGACATGTAGTCAGCCGGGGTCTGAGGAACAAGCTGGAATAGAAAAAAGTTTAAAACTGTTAATTAAAAAAAGTTGCTGACTGGTTTGATGTGCAGATGTGATGTTTTGTTGAAGTTGTGTTTTATTGCAAACTGAAAACCTCTCTTTATCAACCTCTCAAAGAAACCCACCCAACTTCTAGATGTCCTCTCAGCATTCAGGTCAGGTTACTGGTCCAGGTAAAGCGCAGACATCTTCCCTCTGCTCCCTCAAAGCCCAAGTCCTACAGGTGTCACCATGCTGATCCTGATTGCCCAGTCAATCTTCTTGATCTTCAGGTTGTACATGCTGACTTACCTCTCAGCATTATGCACAACTTACAAACAATACAAATGCTAACCAAGTCTACAGGGTCAAAATAAAGCACAGCTGAACACTGTACACTTTAACTTGGCAGGGTTTCTTTTCAGTGTAATTATCCTTACAGTTGTAACAACCACTGCCACTGCTGTTTCCATCATTGAAATTACAAAGTTTTCTTTTATCATCACTCCTTTTAAAGAGTGAAAACAGCAGTTTTAAAAACTAATTGGCAAAAAACAACGAGTATGAAAAAAAGATACCTGGTTGATGTCCTTCCAACTGGTCCACGTCTTAGGCAGCCACCCCTCGCAGAAATTCTTCACGCCTCGCAGGTCTTCTGAACCAGGAGCATGTTGGGGACATCTCAGGTAGTCGAAGAGAAGGAGTATCCCACCATTCCATCTTTGATCAGATGGTGGGAGATCACGGGCAGAGAACAGCGACTCTCCGCAATCGCAACAGCAAACAGACGCAAGCTCGACCAAAACCCTAACCAGAAACCTCCTACTCTGCACTGGTTGACCTTTGATTGGGCCCTAGTTTTTGTGGTGTTGGGTGCGGTGTTGTTTGGTGCAGGTGTTGGTGCAAACTGACCTCCAGTGTCCCTCGTCGATGGACTGTCCATGATGTGAAGCCGGCTCTTAACTTACCAAACAGGGTCCAGGCACTGGGCACTCATGAGTTCCGGCTCAGTCTGTCTTGATCTGGCGCACTATCAGCTCCTGGTTAACACACAGAGAGATATACAAAACCATCACACCTTGAGTCCTGTATACTCATCTTCTTTTCTATCTGGGTTTCTAAAGTTGCATCCCTGCTTCAGTCTCACCTTTGGGATCAGTGGACTGGAGACATCTCAGGGACATGAAGTCAGCCGGGGTCTCAGGAACAAGCTGGAAAAGGGTTGAAAAAAGTTGATTAAAAAAGTTGCTGGCTGGTGTTAGGTGCTGATGTGATGTTTTGTTGAAGTTGTTTTTCATAGCAAACTGAAAACCTCTCTTTATCAACCTCTAAAAAAAAACCCACCCAACTTCTAGATATCCTCTCAGCATTCAGGTCAGGTTACTGGTCCAGGTAAAGCGCAGACATCTTCCCTCTGCTCCCTCAAAGCCCAAGTCCTACAGGTGTCACAGTGCTGATCCTGATGGCCCCGTCAATCTTCTTGATCTTCAGGTTGTACATGCTGACTTACCTCTCAGCATTATGCACATCTTACAATCAATAGAAAGGTTAACTAAGTCTACGAGGTCAAAATAAAGCACAGCTGAACACCGTGCACTTTAACTTGGTAGGGTTTGTTTATAGTATAATTATCCTTACAACAGCTTGTTTCCCTATCTATGTAACAGCCACTGCTGCTCCAGTTTCCATCATTAACATTACTGAGTTTGTTTTTTTATCATCACTCCTTTTAAAGAATGAAAACAGCAGTTTTTAAAAACTTATAAGCAAAAAACAAGGAGTATGAAGTTAGAAACCTGGTTGATGTCCTTCCAACTGGTCCACGTCTTAGGCAGCCACCCCTCGCAGAAATTCTTCACGCCTCGCAGGTCTTCTTAACCAGGAGCATGTTGGGGACATCTCAGGTAGTTGAGGAGAAGGAGTATCCCACCATTCCATCTTCGATCAGATGGTGGGAGATCACGGGCAGAGAACAGCGACTCTCCGCAATCGCAACAGCAAACAGACGCAAGCTCGACCAAAACCCTAACCAGAAACCTCCTACTCTGCACTGGTTGACCTTTGATTGGGCCCTAGTTTTTGTGGTGTTGGGTGCGGTGTTGTTTGGTGCGGGTGTTGGTGCAAACTGACCTCCAGTGTCCCTCGTCGATGGACTGTCCATGATGAGAAGCCAGCTCTCAACTTACCAAACAGGGTCCAGGCACAGGGCACTCATGAGTTCAGTCTGTCTTGATCTGGCGCACTATCAGCTCCTGGTTAACACACAGAGAAATACAAAACCATCACACCTTGAGTCCTGTATACTCATCTTCTTTTCTATCTGGGTTTCTAAAGTTGCATCCCTGCTTCAGTCTCACCTTTGGGCTCAGTGGACTAAAGACATCTCAGGGACATGAAGTCAGCCGGGGTCTCAGGAACAAGCTGGAAAAGGGTTGAAAAAAGCTGATTAACAAACGTTGCTGGCTGGTGTTAGGTGCTGATGTGATGTTTTGTTGAAGTTGTGTTTTATTGCAAACTGAAAAGCTCTCTTTATCAACCTCTCAAAGAAACCTACCCAACTTCTAGATGTCCTCTCAGAGGATGAAAACTAATACCACCTAAGGTTTTTTTTTTTAACCTAAAGTTGTATTTCGGCTAATTTGTTAGTTTCCTTCTTTTTGTGGTTTTTGAAGGAGAACAGTTTACCTCAACAATTGCATAACCAAAACAGACCAACATTAGACCAAAACCTACTACTTTGGAAGAGAGCAGTTTCCTTCCACACTTGCATCACCAAAACAGACCAAAACTAGACAAAAACGTGCAACTCCGGAAGAAACCATTTTCTCTACGCAGTCGCAACAGCAAACAGACAAAAACTACACCAAAACTTCAACCCTAAACCTGCAACTCTGGTTGTGGTGTGTGCATGTGGTTGTTGTCAAACCAAAAGCAAACAAAAAGCACACTGACCTTGAGTGTCCCTCGTCGATGGTCTGTCAGGCGTTGATCCAGTGCAGTTTCAGCTCCTATGCAACTTATAATCAACTGTTTCTCTTCACATTTGTATCACCAAAACTAGACCAAAACCCCAACCTTAAACTTAGTACTCTGCACTGGTTGATTGTTGATGGTCAGGGTTTTGTTTATGTGGTGTTAGTTGTGGTGTGTGCGTGTGGTTGTTGTCTAATCAAAAGCAAGCCAAACACAAACCAAAAAGAGAGCCAAAAGCAGACTAAGCGCAAGCCAAAAGCAAACCAGCTACTCCAAAGGAGAACAGTTTCTCTCCGCATTTACATCACCAAAACGGACCAAACTAGACCAAAATCTGCTCCTCCAGAAGAGAACAGTTTCTCTCCACATTTACATCACTTAAACGGACCAAACTCAACCAAAATCTGCTACTCCAGAAGAGAGCAGTTTCTCTCCACATTTACATCACTTAAACGGACCAAACTCAACCAAAATCTGCTACTCCAGAAGAGAGCAGTTTCTCTCCACATTGACATCACCAAAACGGACCAAACTAGACCAAAATCTGCTCCATCAGAAGAGAACAGTTTCTCTCCACACTTGCATCACAAAAACTAGACCATATCTACACCAAAACCCCAACCCTAAACCTTCTGGTTGATGGTCAGGGTTTTGTTTATGTGGTGTTGGTTGTGGTGTGTGCGTGTAGTTGTAGCAAACAGAAGGCAGGCGGGGAAGGAGAAAGCAAACAGAAGGCAAGCGGAGAAAATAGAAAGCAATCGGAAAGCAATCGGAGAAAGCAGAAAGCAATCGGAAAGCAATCGGAGAAAGCAATCAGAGAAAGCAGAGAGCAATCAGAGAGCAAACCCAGCGCAAGCCAGAAGCAAAACTGCTACTCGCAAACTAGACCAAAATCTGCTACTCCAGAAGAGCACAGTTTCTCTTAACAATTGCATCAATAAAACAGACAAAATCTAGACCAAAATTTCAACCCTAAACCTGCAACTCTGCACTGGTTGATTGTTGATTGTCAGGGTTTTTTTTATGTGGTGTTGGTTGTGGTGTGTGCGTGTCGTCGTTGTTGTCAAACCAAAAGCAAGCCAAAACAAGCAGAAAGCAAGCCAAAGGCAAACCAAGCGCAAGCCAAAAGCAAAATAAAAGCAAACCGACCTCGAGTGTCCCTCGTCGATGGTCTGTCCGAGATGTGAGGCAGGGTCTCAACTTACCAAACAGGGTCCAGGCACTCGGCAGTCATGAGTTGCGTCTTAGTTTGACTTGATCCAGCGCCGTTTCAGCTCCTGGTTAACACACAGAGAAATAAGCAACCATCAAACCTCAATCCTGAATACAACACCCAAATTTAAAAAATCTCTTTGACCTCCTTTAATAATCAGCTCTTACAAGTTAATGAGTTCTCCCCTGTTTAAAAAATAAATGTAAAAAAAAAGGGAGGTCAAGTTTCTTATATCTTTATAGAACATAGACATCATAATTGGTCTCCAATTTATCTGGAATGCGCAAAACTTTATAATGGTGGTTTATTGCTGACCAATCATCAGCTAAGAAAAGACAAGCGGGAAACCAGGGTATCAGCTAAACTGAAGAAAACAGGCAAAATACTAGCCTGGCTGGGCCATCCAGTTGCATGAATCACTTGCCGTTCCTTCCCACAACAGTCTGGACTTCGGCCAATTGGAGTGTATTAGAAATCAGAAAATAACCGGCCCAATCAGTGACTGTGTTTCCACTGTTCCCCGGACTGATTGGTCCATGTGTAGATGGCGACATCTAACACATGCTGTGGGACTTTTCAAAGCGCCGTTCATTCTGCAGGTGATTTTGCAAAGTTGGCAGACATCGTTTATATCCGCAGAAGAAGACGTAGAAGACATTGTTTGCTTGCACACGCTGAAATATTACCAAACCTTTACTTGATGCTTGAGAGCCCAGCAGGGAACACAGTGATTGGTTAAAGTAGTCTATCAAGGAAAGTACTCCCGCCCACTTTTAGGGCTCCCAATTGTCCAGACTGTTGTGGGAAGGAACGGCAAGTGATTCATGCAACTGGATGGCCCAGCCAGGCTAGCAAAATGCAACCACAAACATTGACATGACATGGGCATACTCAGGGATTTTGATGTTTTTTTTACACCTTTTTAACTCCTAAGTTTCTTCATTCTTTAATTTCTTTTTATTCATTGCTGCTGTATATTTTGGAGTGTCCCCTTGTGGGACGTATAAAGGAATCTCCAATCTTATATGCTGCCGTTATTTACTGCAACATGAAATTGTTGATTCAACCCACTGCCACTGAAATGCTGCCAGACATTGAAAATGAAGGAAAATTTCT